CCCAGGAGACCGGGAAACGGATGCGGCTCCCCTGCTCCCGCCCCGAGGCGGCAGCTGACCTGAGAACTGCAGTTTGTTGGTGTGTTTTCCTCACTGTGCAAAAGAGCAGATGCTGAGAAGGGGGTTCGCTTTCTTGAAGCTGTGACCGGCTCCCTACAGGACAGTGGCCCTTGCTCGTAGGAACACAAGAAGGGCTTGAAAGCTCAGGCCACGTTAGCGTGTTACGGCGCGTGGCCACTGCCAGCTGAGAGCTCCCCAGCCTCAGGTGGGAGCTCGGAGTCCAGCACCTCCGACGGGGGTGAGGCCCCCCGAGATTTCTCAATCCGTTCGAGCGCTCGAGGTGTTTAATTTAGTTCAGTTCTCCTGGATTCCCTCCAGGTCACCTGCCCAGGGCCGTGGGGGAGTGCAGTCTGAGCTAAGGACCCAAAGTGTCAGGCAGGAGGGTGCATTACTGATTGTAACACACGGGCCTCGGAGACGGTGCCAGTTCGTTCCGGGCTCCAGACACCGCGGGAAAACGAGCCCCAGCCCTTCTGCTGGTGGAGGATCTTTCCCTCGGTTTGTAAAAATCGCAACATCTGTGAGCGATAAAGCGGCACCCGTGGTCTCGCTGAGCGTTACCCCACCTGCCACGCTAGGCTCGCCCCGCGAACCCGGGAGGCGCGCTGTCGGGCGGGCGCTAAAGACCCGTCACTCAGCCGAGGGAACTGGAGCCCAGCTGGGGCGTCCCGACTCAGTTCTTCATAAAAAGCATTATAAACAGCTGCCTCTTGGAAACACTGGCTCCTTGGGGGAACCTCTCCTAAATTATAACCAAAGGCATTTCGCAGGAGCCTAAAAATTGTATTTTGATTTGAAAGGAAAACTGCTGTTTTCTATGAGAAAAATGCCCACTTTGAAGTTGAACGTAGGTGAGTTAGTCTTGTTTTATGTTTTCTCAGGATATTTTGTACTAAAAATTAGTCCAAGCTAAAGGGAAGGCCTAAGCATGGACCATGTGACAGACAGACACTGTCCTAAGAAGCTGACACACACCCTCTCCTTGTCACCTGTGAGGACAGGCTTTGGAAAGTTAACATCAGACCATCAGGAAACGGGTCTGCCCGATTCTGAAGCCCACGTTCTTTTTACTGCCCCCCCCCCCGATTCCTTTCATTTTAGGAAACCAAAACACTTTTATTGCTGTATATTTCATAGCCTTTTCATCTTAATTGTCTTAAATGGCCAGCATGAAATCCAGGGCTGGGACCAGCTGGATTAAGATGATGTTAGTGCAGAGAAGTGAGTGTGCCCCAGACACCCAGGGCAGACCTAGACACCCATCCACACAAGAGTGGTGCTGTCTTCAGGCAACCAGTAGGGCCAGCCTCCCATCCTGCGACGGACGGCGCGCTCCCTGGGCCTGTCGGGCGGCATTCTGTCCCAGTCCCAGCCGTCCTCGGCGTCTGCGGTGGCCAGACTGTGATGTGACTTATCACTGGATTCTCAGTGACAAGTGAGGACACCCATCACCTTCCCGAGTATGCTTAGTAGTTTTCCCTCGAACCGAACTTCCCAAGAGCCCTGCAGCGAGCACCCAGGACCCCGCAGATGGGGGCTCGCCCGTCCCGGGGCCCGGGCTGTGCACACTGCTCCGCTGTGCTAGTTCGCGGCACTGTTACTATCCTAGGGAGCTCGGGATGGCAAGACCCACTATTATCCCAGTGAGTCCTGCCCTCATTTGGAAATGGATTTGGGAAACCGCCAAGACTCCTGTGCGTTTGCGTCGTCACGCTCTCTGTGAAACACCAGCAGGCGGTACTTCTGAGTGTGGCGCCGCTGAGCAGGCCGCAGAATTCCCCGCCCGCTGCACAGGACGCCCTCGCGGCAGCGGCTGATCCGGGGCCGGTGCACTGTTTGTAGAAAGTGGGTTTCAGTACAAACCATAACCACAGAGGTAAACCTACGGGTCGGTGTGCGATCTGACGTGCAGGAAGCGTCTGGGGCTAATGATGAAACTTTTTAACTTTCCAGATGACAGAACAAAGGAAGCAGAAGCAGAGAATCGGCCTTCTAGGACATCCTCCGCACATGAACGTCAACCCCCAGCAGCCCGCGTGAGCGAGGAGCCGGGCGTGGGGTTTACCTCTAAGATCACCAGTGGGCGTGGCTCCTTGGCTCTGACGCCCCCGGGGGCGCTGGTTGCGCTGAGCACATGTGTAAATACCCAGTTTTATACTGTATGTATATGATCGCTACTCTCAAGGTCTGGATATATGTATTGTAATTAGACTGTTGGCATGATGGAATTTCTATTTGTGCCAGAAAATATTAAAAATGCCTTTTTTGGAAGGACTAAAGAAAGCACCTGATTTGCACTTGAACCAGAGTATAGATTTAAAACTATATGACATGTATTTTGTATTTAAAACTAGCCTAGCCAGTATTTATGTTTTTTATAAAACTGTGCAATACGGATTATGCGATCACAACGGATTTGTAACTCCCGGGTGTCCTAGAGGGAGCGCACATCTTTGGAGCTGGTGTGTCAATACTATGTTATAAATATCAAATGATGCTGCTGCCAAAATCATGTTACTAGTGAGTTTCAGGCCCTTGGGCACTTTATACCGTGATTCTCTGTGCTGATACTGTTTCCCGCTGCTAGTGGCGTCTGCTCCAAGGCCAAGGCTACAAAGTAGCAAGTCCACATTCATTTTAAGAAAAGCAACTTTAGCTCCAGAGATACTTTTAAGCTTCTGAATTGATTGTTTAAACTATGTCTTTGAGCAAGAGCTAGATTAGAGGCTCAGACTTTAGCTTGAGAAGTTAATGGGTTTTTTTTAAAGGGAACTTTTTAGGCAGCATCTGGGTGAATGCAGACTGCTGGCCAATCAGTGTCATCTCCTAGGTGAATTTTGGTGTCATGCTGTAAAGAATAAATAATTGATGGTTTCTAGATTATCTAGTCCAAACAGTAGATTCTTTTTCTCTTCATCTGAACCAACATGCTATGGTAGCTACGAGGTATTAGCATAGTATAATCCATAAAAAGACGAAACGGGACCGATCCCCATTAGAGCTCAGAGTTGAACACTGACATGTTATTCTTGTGAAAGAGCCACGTTTTGGTTTTATTTCTTTGTCACATGATTTCTTCTGTTGATGGATGAAGAGTGTGAAAGGAAACTTGTATCTGTTGCTCAGTTTTGTACCCGGATCTCATTTTACAAGAGAATCTCTCTGCAAAAAAAAAAAAGCTAAAAAATGTGTTGAGAGCAGCATTCCAAGCGAGTGAAGTTTGTAAATGCGTATGTAAGGATAAATATTTAATAAACGATGCAGAACCTACAGAGTGGCCGGCTGGTGGCTTCTGTTCGGGCGGGTGGCTCAGTGCATCAGCAGCTACTCCAGTTACCGATACAGCTGGTTTGGTGACCAGGTGACTTCAGAGACGCTCACCTGGTTAGTGCAGACTCTGGCGCACGTGAACGATCCCCGGGCGCATTCAGGGCAGTGTCCTTCCTTCTTCAGACGTGCGACTGCCACCAGGCGTCTCGGGCACCCAACAGCATAGTGAGGCCTGGGGCCTCCACGGCAGGAGCTTGAACTTGGGGTGGTTTTTGTGCATGACTGGTGACCAGGGTCCTTCCACAAGGCATAGGGAGGTGTCCATCAAAGGTAGTGAGACCTGCTCCCACTCAAGGCCACGCTCGCCAGGGTGGCTCTTCTCACCCCGGTCTCCCCAGGCTTTGGTAAATAATTGCCACCCTACACTGGGAACTAGGTCAAAATGAAATTCCAGTTCAGCGACCGGTTTCTTAACCAATGTTTTGACTTTATAAATTTGATAACTTAGAAAAACAAGTGAAGACTTTCCCTGTCGGTGCAGCATCCGCTCGGAGCTTTTCCACAGTCAGGCAAGCGAGACAGACTCACATTAGAAAGTATTGGCTGTGATGCTCTGTCCAGAGGAGCTCCTAAAATCTCTTTTACAAACCCCGTGCAAACCCCTCATTTAACTGCGTTTCGCGTTTTTCTGAGGAGAGCCTGCCCTCGCTGTGGAGGGGCTTTCTCTGGGCGAACAGCCCCCCGGGATGTTTATGAGCCACTGTTCTGCTCTTCCTTCTGCTGATCATCTGTTAACAACAGGCTAGGATGTTGGAAACCCCCACAACGATTTCGATTTTACAGAAAGTACCCAAAATTCCACCACTTTTGCATCACAAAGTACTTGTTAAAGTGTTGAGTAAAAATGCTGCGTGTGGTTTTTGTGGGTGGCTGCCGCTCAGAAGGACCATCAGGCCCCCGGGTTGTCTGCAGGGGCCACTAGGATGACAGTGACGAGTTGAGACAGTTACAAGTGTCCTAACAAACATTTTCCATCCGGGTGCTGCGAGCTACACGCAGCAACCCTGCGGCCTGCGGGGTCCTGGGGAGCGCGGCCAGCCCCCAGGTCTGCGCCCAGGCCTGCCGAAGGGAAGGACGTCAGAGGCAGGCCCGGGGGGGGCTCTTACCTTCTGTCCACCCCCACAAAGTTGCGGACTCTGGACACCAGCTGCTCCCCCTTTAAACTCATTTGGTAAAACAAATCTCCAGCTTACTGGGTATTACATAAAAAGAGAGAGAGAGACAAACATGACCAAAGGAAAAACTGCGGTAATGAAAATGCTTTAAGGTCACGGCGGCCGGGGTGAGAGCGAATCCTAACACCTCGAGGGGAAACTGCACCAGCCGCCCCACCTGGAAAGAAGCAAGCAAGCTGGAAACCACTAGAGAGTCAGAACGCGGGGGCCTGAGAAAACCCCTAGCGTGGGCCCTGAACGACAGCCCCACAGCACCAAGTGCGGGCCCCGCGCGCGGAAACACGGGGCCAGCGTTTCTGAGGTCGCCCCACAGACGGCAGCGGGTCCCCTGCAGAGAAGGACGCTTTCGACCATCCAGGAATTGAACCTGCTCACTCCAGGCCATGAGCCCGTAATTCAACCCTTCTGCGCACACCGGGCACCTTCGGCGCCTCCTGAAGCCCTGTGGGGAGCTTTCTGCAAAGCTCTCCGGGGAAAACACGACGCTTTCACGAGACTGGAACGAGGCTCGGGCGCGAAGTGTCCGTTTCCTCGCGGGTCCACGCGGCGGCTCGGAGGATGGGCAGAACCTGACTGATTTCTTTCCTAAATGTTTTTATTGATTTTTAGAGGAAGGGAAAGGGAGACAGAAACATCAGTGAGAGCAAGACATGCGCTGGCTGCCTCCTGCAGGCCCCCCCGGGGATCGAGCCCGCAACCCGGGCCTGGGCCCTGACCCGGAATCGAACCGGCGACCCCTCGGTGCACGGGGGCAACGCTCAACCGCTGAGCCACACCGGCCGGGGCAGAACCTGCAGCTTGACATGGGTCGGTCACACCAGCTCTGCCACGCCAGGGCCATGACTGGGCGAGGTCCCCAACCCCTGCAACTGTCACAACTGTCACCCCCCCCAAAGAGCGCACGCGCCACCCTCACTCTGGGTAGTAATGATGGTGAGGAAGGCTGACCTGTGTCCCGTGCCCGGTGTCCCCCCACAGGCCGCCTCCCGTTCCTTGCCCCGCGGCCCTGTCCCTTGTCTCACACCTGTCCAGTCTGCCGAGCACCCCGGCCGGCCCTGCTTTCTGCTCCCGCCACTGGGCCGGGTGTCGGTTCCCTGGGATCCTAGCTGCCCGTGTCAGGATGGCACGTTTGGGGCATTTTTAAAAACTATCTCTAACGTCCAAATCGGGGGGAGGGGTTAATCCTTACCTGAGGATACTTTTTTCCATTGATCTTCAGAGAGTGGAAGGGAGAGGGGGCCGGAGAGAGAAACATCACCGGTCGGGTGCCTGCTGCACAGGGGCCGGGGCCAAACCTGCCCGAGGCGCGCCCCTGACTGGGGCAGAGCCCGGGCCCTGCCGGCTGCCGGCTGGCGCTCTGCCCGGTGAGCCGAGTTGGCCGGGGCCGGGTCACGCGTGTCCACCTGAACCGAGTCCACGGCGGAGGAAACCGAGCGCGGCTCCGGGAACTCTGCTCACCTGCGACCCGGCTTGCATTCACGTGTGACTTTAAAGGCGTCCGTGGGAAGGTGCTTTCTCTTAGGCTGACGACGAGTTTCCTTCGTCACTGGCGTGCTCTCGTTCAAACCTCCCGCCCGGTCCCGCCGCGGCCGCTGGTCCTAAACTGTGGCCCCTCAGCCGCCCCAGGGGCCCGGGGGTGCCCGCGGCTGCCGGCTCGGCCCCTCTGATCCTGACTCCTGACTGCGGCCCGGGGCTCGCCCGTCCTCTCCGCCCGCCTTCCCCCGGGTGCGGACACGGCCCTCTACCCGGTCCCCAAAGCGCGTCAGCGTCATGACGGGTGCTGCGGGGAGGTCTGCACGGGAGGATTCCGACACCACAGGCGGGTGTGACGTGGAGGTCAGCGCCCGGCCCTCCTGGGCACGGGGGCAGCAGCTCCTCCCCTCCAGCCCGCGCCAGGGCCCCCTCCCCACCCGCCCAGACAAAGCAAAACAAAACACATTTCCATCCAGCTTCAAGCAAACACTAACAATTCTGTGTCTTCGTTACAGAGCAATTTCCGCCCCCCGGGTCCCACCCCCTCCCACCTAGATTAGCCCCTCCCTTGACCAAACAAAAAAACAAACGACGAATTCAGCATCCTTAGCTTCCAACCCCAAGGGCAGCCAGCTTTTCCAGCAGCTTAGCCTTCCTCCTGACAGTCCCTGCCCGTCAGAGGACAGCCTCAGCTTAGAAAGGCCACGGGGTGGCCCAGCCAGACGTCAGACCTGGGCTGCGAAGGCGGCCAGGCCACGTGACCACAGGTCCCCTTCTCCCACCGGCCATCGCGTCACGGCGCCAGGTGCCATCCTGCCGGTGAGGCGCTGGGGCCTCGGCCCCTACACCGTCTCCACCCCACCCCTCGTCTACCCCGCTGAAGGGCTCCCCTCCCCAGCCCACGGGGGACCCGGCCATTCTCAGCCCCAACCTGGAGCGAGAGCACGACTTAGGCAATGTAAGGAGAGTGCGGCCGTTGGGATAGTCAAGAACCATGGCTCCCCCGCGTAGGAACATAGGTAAAGCGAGAGCGATTTGCAAAAGCGTGATGTTCGTACGTAACCGAAGTCGGACCCAAAAGGCCGCACAACGCGTCACCCCGTGGATATAACGTTCTGGACAAGGCAGAACCTTAGGGCCGGAGACCCGATCGGTGGCTGCCAGAGACAAGGAGTCTGGAAAGCGGATTTATCACGAAGGGACACGGGGGAAATATCCGTGACCAAAATACCTTCGGTGGTTACGTGACTATAGCAGGTTCTCAAAATTCATAGAACTGTAACGTACAAAAGGAAAATTTTACTGGACGTAAATTATCCTTCAGTAAACTTAGCTTAAAATAAAAAATTAAAAAAACACACCTGGTGAGAGTGAGAAAGGCCAGGCCCAAGATTTTGCATTTTGAACCTACTCCCCAGGTGACTCTTATATAAAGTGGTACGGCCACTATAGAGAAGAGTATGGAAGTTCCTCAAAAAATAAAACTACCCTGTGACCCAGCAACCCCATTGCTGGGTATTTATCCAAAAGAACTGAAGTCAGGATCTCAGTGAGATAGCCGCACGCCCGTGTTCACCACAGCGTAGTCACCGCAGCCAAGCCACACAACCTCCGCGTCTAGGATGGATGGGTGGGTGGTCGGAGGTGGTATGTGCCTGCAGCGGAATATTACTCGGCCATGAAAAGGAAGGGAATCCTGTCCTATGATACAAAACGGATGAAGCTTGAAGGCATTATGCTAAGTGAAACCTGCCAGTCACCAAAGGTTAAATATTGCACGATTCCACTCCTATGAGGCCTCTAAAGAGGTCGGAGCCATCAAAGCAGAAAGTGGAATGGCGGTTGCCAGGGGCTGGGGCGGGGGCTGGGAGCTGTTATTCAGTGGGTGTGAAGTTCCAGCCACGTAACATCAAAAGGTCCAGAGGTCTGGTGTACAAATTGCACTTAGGAGTTAACCACACTGCACTGTACACTTCACGTTTATGAAGGGGCTATGTGTATTTTTACGGTAGTTTTTAAACATCACTGTCTTGATTACTGGAACTTCCTAGTAAGTCTCGAAATCGGGCCCTGCGAATCGTCCAAGTTTGTTTTTGTTTCTCAAAGTTGTTTTGGCCTTTCTCAGTTCTTTGCTTCTCTATATAAATTTTGGAATTACCCCGTAGGTTTCCACAAAGGAGACCCCTGAGGTTGTGAAGGTGATTTCACTGAACCTCTGCGCTGACCTGGTAAGAGACGACACTCTGACGCTACGGCGCCTTCCCACCCGCGCACGCGGCGCATCTCTCCACT